TTTTGTTGAGGGTTTTGGCATCGTTTTCTTAATGAATTGATAAGTAGTTTCCTTACATCTCTGGTGATATCAGAGTACTGTGTTTTATAAAATTAGTTTACATTGTACCCTCCTCTTTCATTTCTTGGAAGCGACTGTAAAGAACAGGCATCATATCTTTCTTAGATGTTTGGTACAATTTGCTGGCAAATCCATCTAGGCCTGGGTTTTGTTAGATTTTAAATTATGAATTCAATATTTGAATAAATATGGGATGATTTACTTCATATAGTTATTGGATACTTTTGGTAGCATGTAGATTTTTAAGGAATTTGACTACATTCAGTCATGTGATGTTTGAGCATAGAGTTGTACTATATTTTATTATTATTTTTTAACGGGTAGAATGATAGCCTCTCTTTCATTCTTGATATTGGTAAGATGGTTTATATTTGCCCAGACATTTGTTGTTCATTAACTTTCACTCATGAAGTTCCATGACGCTCCAACCCTCCACCTGTCCCCTCTGGGTATTGGAGATTAAATAATCCCCAGCCCTTTTTGAAACACGAAGTTGCTGAGGATTATCTTAAACTTTCCATCCTCCTGCCTTGGCATCCCCAGGGTGTCTCCCACCATATTAGGCTCCACAGCATTTTTGAGACAGGGTTTTGCTATTTTGCTTAGTGTCCCACTAAGTTGTTGAGGCTAGCCTCAAACTTATTATCCTTCTTCCTAACAGCCCCAGACTTATAGGAGTGTGCCAATGCATCATGCTAATTCCATCATTCTTTCTAATATTATTTCTCTTTTCTCTAAAGAACTTCATTTAGTAATTTCTTTTATAACAGGCCTATAGACAAATTTTCTTCGTCACTCTTCACCAGAGTGTGCCTTCATTTTGCCCTCATTCCAGTTTTTTTTTTCTTCTCCTGGCACTCAAAAAGATTTTGAACTATCATCTTTGGTTTTCATGATTTTCTACAGATAAACCCAATCATTATCATCACTGCTTCCTTAGAAAGCACCATTCTTGTCTGGCTGATTTTAAGATCTCAATCTTTGGTTTCAAATAATTTGGTTTTGATGTGTGTAGGTAGGCCTTGGTTTATTTAAATTTTATTTCATTTTATTTGTAACTTTTTTATCCTCTTTGGTATTCACTGAGCTTCTTACATCTAAAAATTCATGTCTTTCACTAAATTTGGAACCTTTTAGCAAGTATTTCTTGAAGTATTTGTTCTTTACTAATCTCTGTTCCTTCTAGAATTTAAAACGATATGTTAGGCTTAGTGAAATTGTCATACAGGCTTCTTAATTGGTTCTCAATATATTTTTTTTTTTTTGTATTTCAGATTGGACAATTTTTAACAAGTTATCTTTTAACTGACTGTCTATCACCTCCATTCTGATAGAAATTACATATAATAAGTATTTCTGAAAACTTCAGATATATTTCTCTTTTGCTTGTATACTTCATTCTTTTATACTAGTAAAGAACTGTTTGATATTCTCTTATGATAACCTAAAACACTTATTAACAAAAAAAGAAGACAGAATAAATTATATACCCACTTATCCCAAGTTTAACAATTATCATTTCAATCTTATTTAAACTTTATCTGTGTCTCTCCTCACTTCTGCCCCTTACCTATTAGACTAATCCCATTTAATCTATAAATAGTTCCATTATGTAGTGTTAAAGTCACTTAAAAAGTAACCTCTACACTATTATCAAACCAGCCAATTTCTTAATATCAAACACAGTGTTTGAACTTCTAATTGTCTCTTAATGTCATTAGCTCCTCCCTGCCATTTATAATTTGTTGTACTGGTTGATCCCATATCTTGACCATTGTGAATAATGCTGCAAAAATATAAAGGTGCAATTATCTGTGTGACATACTGATTTCTCTTCCTTTGGATATGTGCTATGTGGAAGAATTGGTGGATCATATATCATATCAAAACTATTCTTACTTTTTTTTCTGAGAAAATGTCACTGTTTCTGTAATAGTGGTAACTAATTTACATTCCCACTAATGATGTATAAAAATTCCTCTTTCTCTACTTCCTCCTCAACATTTGTTGATTTTGGTATTTTATAATGGCTATTGTAACACTAAGATATCTTACTGTAGTTTTTGATTTGCATTTCCCTGATAATTAGCGATGCTAAGCATTTTCTCATATACTTGTTGGTAATTTGTGTATCTTCTTTTGAGAAAGGTTTATTCAGATTACTTGACAATTTTTTTTTGGCTCGAGTTCCTTAAAGAGTTTTTAACCTTTGCTGTAGTTTATTTATGACGTTTTCCAATTCTGATTTTATGTGGATGTGTCTTTTTTCCTAGATTAATTTGCCAGTGAATTGCTTATTGTTATCCTTCACAAASAGCTAATTTTTGGTTTTGTTGATTTTTAAAGAATTTATTTCTGCTTTTAAAATCATTATCTTTCTTCAGATTTGTCATTTTTAAATGTCTTCAGTTGAATCTTAGCTCATTAAATTTCAAGCTTTTTTCCTTCTAATGGAAGTGTGTATGGTCGTAAAAGTTCTCAAAATACTGGTGTATAGCTGCATCCTATAACTTTTTTTTTTTAAATAAATGGATACAATACATTTGTTTATCTTTTATGTGGTGCTGAGCATCGAACCCAGTGCCTCACACATGCTAGGCAAGCATGCTACCACTGAGCCCCAGCCCTAGCCCCCTACAACTTTTTGACATGTGGTATTTATTTTATTGAGTTTTAAATGTTTTCAGATTTCTATCCTGATTTCTTCTGATCTATGAATAAGTAGAATATTATTCAGTTTCCAAATATATGAACAAATTGCCAAATATATAATGTTGTAAAGTAATTTCTTGGTTGCCGATTCCTAGTTTAATTGTATTTTTTTTCAAAGAAAGCTCTGCATAATCCCAAGCACTGGTGTATGTTCAAATTTCCTTTATTAGCCAACTCTATAGACTAGTTTTGATAAATGTTTCACACGTAGAGAATGAATGTTCTCTGGATGTTCTGTGCAAGATACATGTCGATTAGGTATACTTGTGTTGTTTAAATCTTTTGAGCCTTAATAACTTTTTTGTACATTTGGTCAATTAATCATTAAGAAGAAAAATATGTTCCCATTGTAACTTTGGATTTCTTACTTTTCCCCTGACAATGATGAATCTGTAGCTTAAACATTTTGAGGCTCCATTAATTTGTAATAATTTTACATTATTTTAACTTCTTTGTAAATTGGTGACCTTCTTGATTTTTATTTTTATAGTTCCATCCATTCTCTTTTGGTATTTGCCTGTTATTTTTTAATTTTCCATTTTCAAAATTTCCTGTAAGCAGGATATATTTGGATTTTTAACTTTAGCATTTGCTTCATTTATTATTTTTGCCTAGAATTACCTCAATATTGCCCTCATTTTTGAATCATAAAATATAATATGGAAATGGAGGTTGTCAGTCATTATTTTTCCTCTCAAAATTTTGAAGATATTATTCTGTTGTTGTTGAGCTTCTGTTTTGCTATCGATGGTGCTAGTGACAATCTAAACAGCATCCTTTTGGAGACAATCTGATTGTTTTGTCTACTCTTATCTCAAGGATAGGTTGTGGGCACAGGTGTTTTCTTTTGGATGTGTGAGATTATCATTCATAAAATTGTGGTTTATGAATGGCAACTCTGTAGCCTTATTGGTTATTCTGGACTTATTTTTTGCTAGATGCCTCAAAAGGTTTTATGAGCCTAGGACCATTTTGTTAATTTTGGGGCTCCATGGTTCCTGGATTGAGCAGGGAATGTAAACTCATATCCCAAAAGTAAAGACACATTTCTAGTGAGAGTCCTAGGGGAACCCAGCCTTACCTCCAACCCCATTCTAAGAACAAGCCCATAAAAATACATTCTTTGTCACTGACATGTGCCAGTAGATATATTTTTTAATTAAAACAATTTTTAGAATTGTATATGAACAAAAACCTTTATTTTGTTTATTTATTTTTATGTTGTGCTGAGGATTGAAAGCAGTGCCTCACACATGTAAGTAAGCACTCAACTGTTGAGCCACAACCCCAGCCCCAGTAGATATATTTTTTAAAATTTACCCTTTCACATCAGTCATCTCCCTCTAAGGGTTCTAGTTCTAAGCCACTTAGGGCCTCACTAAGTTGCTGAGGTTGGCTTTGAACTTGCAATTCCCCTGCCTCAGCCTCCCCAGCCATTRTGATTAGAGGCGTGCATCACCATGTCCAGCTGTAAATCTGATTTTCATAATTCTTTTAAAGGTATGTTCTCCCACCCCGACTCTCTTCATAAACATATATTAAATCTAATTTTTGACTCTGTTGATATTCCTTAATTAGCAATCAATCTCAACCTGTTAAGAGTTATTTACAACATTCTTCTCTGAGGTACTTCTAAATGAAAGCGCTACATAATTAGTAGAGGACAGCTGATGTGTAAGAACACAGAATTCAACATATTTTACACTGGTTAGTATAACCAACTCTGAGACCTCCAAGAAGACTCTAACCTCTTGAAGCCTAATTTTCTTAACCAAACAAAATATTTTTAATGATAAACTGATCAATATTTGTACTCACCATTAGGAACCTACAGATTTTAAGATCTTTTTTTTTTTTTTTTTTTTTTTTAAATGAGGTCTTGCTATATTGCCTGGGCTGGACTTGCTATCCTCCTGTCTCAACCTTCACGGTAGGTGGGAACACAGATATACGACAYGAAGTCCAACTAGATTTTTAGAATCTTAGACTTTTAAAATTAAGAACCTTAATGTATGTGTAAACTTCCTGAAATTTATATTTGTTTATTTAACTCTAACAGTGCTGGTGCCCAATAAAGTAAGTGAAGTAAAATTAAAGTTTTTTTTTAAAAGTTGTAGTGTTGTAGTATCAATTTATATAATCAACAAATATTTGCATGAACAAAAGCAACAATTTATACAAATCACATCTTATGTTCTTCCCTGAAGTGACTCAATACATAATAATACCTTAGCTTTTGGAGTAGCTTTAATTGTCCATATGCAATCAACTGCTTGGCCAGGTTTTGTTTTCTCTTCTTGTTCTACCTGACTAGAACGTACTATTCCATCTGCTCCTGAGAGCTCGAACTGGCAATCTAGAGAGAATAAATGAATGACGTTCAAAGGAAAACAAGACTGATCAAAAATGCCATGGGGAAAAAGAGGTAATATACTAAACCTGGGATGGGATTTAAAATACCTCCTAGGTAAGTAAAGTCTGGATCTGTAACAGAAAAAAGAAGAAAGTTATTCGTATTGAATTACTTTAAGTCTTAAATATTAGTTTACCTCAACAGTACATTTATGAACTCACTTACAGAATCAATATTTAATGATGATGTTCATATTTTTGATCCCATCATGAATTAATAACTTATGCTGCTTGAAAACTCACATAAATTACCAAAAGTAGTAGTCTGTTGACCAATGAAGGAATAAACAAAATGTGGTAACACAAGGGAATATTAGTGCAACCTTTAAAAATAAATGAAAGTTATTTTGGCTGAATCACATTAAAATTTGTCTTAATTTTTTTGCATAGTAAGAGTAGTGGCGATAGTTGCAAAACATTGTGAATGTACATAATGCCACYAAATTGGAGATTTATGAATGGTTAAAGAGTAAATTTTATGCTATGTACATTTTACCACAAGAAATTTTTAAAAATTACAGACAGGGGTTTCTTTAAATACTACCTTAAAGTTCAGATATGACCTGCATTCACCAAAATACTAGAATAAAAAAAACTGCTGGAGAGTCAAAAATGTCTCAGAATCCTTATCTTGGAAAACCTATTTCATACATAGTTTATTTTATGTAATGGGATGCTCAATTCTTGTTAAAACTGTCTTTTAATTCCAGACACTTTAGAAAGTTATTAAACTACAAATTGGAAAAAAGTGGAAATAAATTAGGAGCTTTATTTAGAATACGTCTCAGGGACTGTCCTTTTTAAACTTAAACTCATCCTTGCTAAAAGGCGACAACTAATAGGACACTACAGCCCTTTTGCAGAAAAATGTCAAAAGTAAATTTAAATCTTAAGTGGTACTGGGTGAAAAAGTCAGGAGCTAACTGGCAAGTTAATCAGAATTCTTCATATGAAGGAAAGAATTTTAAGGTTTTATCCTTATTGTTTTAAAATTCTTACAATTATCTAGTTAAATCCAGGAAGTAATATTGATTGAGAGCCTCTATCTTAACAACATTAGAGAATTTCATTAAAAGACAATAATTTCTTACAACTGTTAATAGTTTTCTTTTAGATTTACCACTCCCTAGACAAAATTTATTTTATACTATAGGGGTAGAAAAGATGGTGGAATGAGATGAACATCATTACCCTTAATTGCATGAATGGGGCGTCTCTAAATCATGYACAACTAGAGAATCAAAATGTTGTGCTCCATTTGTGTATGATGAATTGAAATGCATTCTATCATGTACAATTAAGTGGAACAAATAAAAATGATAATAAAATAATAACAAAAAATTTATTTTATAAACATGACTTTTAATAACAGCAAATATAGCCACATTTTAGCAAATTATGCCTATTTATTTTGACATGGAACATCTTCCTTTCTTCTAACAATGAAACTGCAGAATCTTTACTTTCCATAACATTTACTGACCTAAGTTATTTTTATTTTTTGGGCAAACAAATAATGTTCTGACTGTTCTCACAGCATTCTTAGGAACCAGAGGTAGGTAAGACCCTATAATAGGTTGGACAGTGCCCCCTCCCAATACATCTACATCAGAATCCCCATAACCTGTATAACCTTATATTTTTTAAAAAGCAAATATTACAAGATGAAAGATATAATTAAGATTTTAAGAGGAGAAAGAGATGTGAAGATGGAGATTGAGATTGGAGCAATATGGCTATGATACCAGAAGTGTTGGAGCAGCTACCAGAAGCTAGAAGAGACAAAGAATAGATTTTCCCCTAGAGTTCCTAGATGGAGTAAGGTCCTGGTAGATTGAACTTTTGATCTCCGAACTATGAGGATATATTTTTATTGTTTAAGTGTCCAAATTTGTAGTGATTAATTATGTCAGTCTCAGGAAACTAATACAGTAGGTATTACCCCTTTCACCAATGGCAAATATCAGGTACAACTCTGTGCTTAGGTCTTACAGCTATTAGGTGACAGAAAAAAGACTCAAACCCAGATCTTTTACCTACAAATGCAGAACAGTATTTTTCTATTGCTCATTATTTTCAAGAGCATTTATTCAAATGAGTGGCTAAGTCAAATCAGTCCAATAAAAAACCTGCCAAAATTTTTGTGGGGATTGTGAAAACCAAACAATATGTTGAAATTATTTAAAAATACATTTATTTTGATATTGTGGACCTTAAGTATGTGTTTTATAAAACACAAGAAAAAAAAGAAAATGTGATATCATCTGTATTATGCCTCAAAATTCAAATGATATGGYTCTAGTTCCAAGTTTTATTAAGGTTTATTTGTTCATAGACTAATTTCCTTTTCACCTTGAGAATCCCTTTAAAGTCTTGATCTTATTAACTTGACCAAATTATCTCTTTTCTAGCCTTAGGATTCTGCAATCAGGGTGAGATACTCAACCACTGAAAAGATTATTCTTTACCTGGAATAAATGAGTATTTTGCACGAAATCCCAGTCCTTCAAGTTCTTCATCAGAACTAAACTTAATCCACATGAATCTCCCTGTTGACCTGATTAATGGAGGGCTTTTCATGCCACAGTAACGATCTATAAGAGGAGAGAAACCAAATGGCCCATCTCGAACTTCCAAGTGATCAAACCGACATTCAAATGATGGCTCTATATAATAATGTTCATCAAAGGTCAACTCTATTCTTTGACGTGGAGCAGCTATAAAACAAAAGCAAGCAAATCAGGGCAACAGAAATGGAAATATATAAATGTACAAACAAATGAGAAAAACAGAACAATCACTCTAATGCTTCATAGATAAGGATCATAATGAGAATTTTTATAGGTCACAATAAATGTCATATTTTACAATACTAATAATGTACTCTATAGAACTATTGTAACCTTCTCTTTGGCAAATGCTGTTTATTAAATTAAATGTATATGACTGAYTAAAATTGAAGCTTCGAAAAGTTATTGGTTACTTATTTCATGAGATAAAATGTATCATGACACACAAAAGAATAAGCAGAAGAAATGAAGGGAATTCACTAATTTGGACATAAATTTGCATGAAGACTAATAAAAAATGCCAGTAAGTTTAGGTTTTTATCAGAGGAATTTCTCATATGTACTGATGCACTTAACTGAATCATAATTTAGGAGATTCAAAATTCTCATGAAATTTCAATTATCATTTTGTTAATGTATTCAATATTTAGAAATACTAATCATTACTAGAGTTTAATTCAAATATAAATTTTGTTCAAACTGGCTTAAACATGGTATTTTTACCAATGCAGTTAATTTTGCAACAAAGTAGAAAATTCATCCAATAAAAAAATTGGCCAAATACCTTCCAAAATGTAGATACACTCCTTGTTTGGTGGATATGACTCAGGATAATTTGGTGAAGCAAAATGACCTCCATTACTGGTTCGAATCCAAATGCCACACTGGGTTACAGGAATGTGTTTGATTCCAATATTTTGTCCATCTTAGGGAAAAAATAGCATTTAAACATAATTAGAGTAAAGCAGAATAGCATTCTTCTTTTTCCCCAACAACTTTCCAAACAATTGCCCACTCTGTAATATATATATAAAATTTTGTAAGAACCACTGCCAAATTTAGTTCAACAAACTGAGCACAGAACGAAGTAAGATTGTGTATGCTGTGCTTGCTAGAGGAACTTTGTGCTGGAGGATAAGTTTGCCATGTAGAGAATATAGAAAAACCATATAAGAGAATCTGATAAATCAGTAAAATTTAATAAAATTCAGTTCTGACATAAAAATAAAAGGATCTATGGAGTTATCTCTGGCATCTTTGTATTTAGTTTAACACAAAAGTCAAATAAGATTCAAAGATTACAGAAAGATTTTAAAGACTGTAGTTGAACACAAGTATTCAGTTCTGCTCCCTCCTCAAGTTCCACTTAAAAAGCAGTAAAAGGATTTTTTTAAGGGCATAAACTTGTAAGTACAAGGAGGTAGATACAAAAGAAATAACTGGTAGTTCTAGAAGTAGAGTGAGGGGTTATGTGAAACTGGTAATTTTAATAATATGACGCTGTTTATATATACATAGTCTGTATATGAATTGTTTCATATACTTTAGCTTCTCCACAAATCTAGGCAGCTGCTGCTCATATATTATTTCTTTGGAGAAGGTAAAACAGAGTTAATGGAATAGGAGACCTCAGGTGTAGCTGAGGATAAAAATGCCCATGGACTGATTAGTGAGTGCTAACACACTGAATGACACTCCCGGGCTTCTACTACTGGGCTCACCAAAGGCCTCAGTGAGTTACGGAATCTCTAAATGGGAAATGCAAAGATTCTTTCCTGGGAAATCTAATCATTCTTAAAGATTCAATGATGCAGACCTAGGAGATACCCAATGTCAGGACATTCCACAGTGAGGGCCACAGCAGATAATCCTTACTTACACCTGGCAGACTGCTAATGAGCAGTTTTTCAGTGCCCCTCTTAAAATCTGAACAGATGTTCAGTAATCACTGAATATTTAAAGCCACTAATTTGAAAATCAGACCCAAACAAAGAGAGAAAAAGCAACTCTAAGGAAACAAAGACTGTAAGAAAAATATTTTTTTTAAAGACAGTAACAACATAAAACTTTAATCTGAGAAAGAGAAAAGCAAATACATGAATAAAACAAGAACAAGGACATTCTTTTAAAAAGCTTATGTATAAAACAAGAATGCATCCAAAAACAGAAGAAATGAAAATATTAGAAAAAGTTTTGGGCCAATCTGACCTCTGTCTGTGGTTGTGCATAAAGTCTTACTGAATATATGCATGCCCATCATGTATATGTATTGTCTGTGGCTACTTTCACACCAACAGCAGAGCTGAGTAGGTGTGCCAGAGACTGTATGGTCTTAAATACTTATTATCTGAATGTTTACAGAAAAAGTTTCCTAATTCCTGGTCTACAGAATAAAGCCGAGGAAGTCACCCAGCACGTGGAACAAAAAGACAGATGGAAAAACAAACAAACAAACAACAATAGAGCCATAACTAAATAATGGCATTCCTAAAGAGAGAGAACGGAGAAAATGGAGGGAGGAGAGATTTTGAAAAATTTAACAAAACCCCCAAATTTCCAAAACCAAATGCAAAATTCATATTGAAAAAACTTGGTGAGTAACTTAATATAAACCCTGAATACTGATCTAACTAGAATATAACTATATTGAGAAGGGTGGTAAAAATGGAAGAGAACATTGTGGATGGGGGTGAACAGTAGGTGTGTCAAAGAGCTAAATTATTCACCTTCCATGGTGAGAAATCAGTATCAGATGTTTAAAATTGAAATAATCAAGAAATAGAAGAACAGCATGTTACTTAAAGATATGAGAGAAAATTCCAAACAATCAGTTTAAAAAAGTAGTTATTTATATTGAGCAAGAAGGTGGTTGTGGTAGGCTAGGAGGAGGACTGGTTTTTTTCCTATTTAGTACATTTGGATTTTTATCATGTACGTGTATAACTGACAAAAATAAAGAACAATTAGGGTTATAAGGAAATGTACCCAACTATGACATGAAATTCTGGCTCAAAAACACACTAATCTTTTTTTCTACATCAGGATACTTAGAATAGGACCAAAGAGCTTCAAATAAGGTATTGAGAAATGTTTCATTTGTTTTCACTGGAACAAGGGATTTTTTTATTTTTGCTTAGTGATAAAGTATGAATATCATTAAAATTTTACACATAATCCAGTGTGCTAGGAACTAGTAGTGATGCCAAAATTTTTTAATTTACCAGGAGAAGGTTTTTGTTGATGATTTAGTCTAGTTAACAAGTTACATCCAGTTAAATGAGGCTGATAGGTTGACAGAAAGCCTTAGGTTATTGGAATATGCAGAAGGATTATAGAAATAGTACTCAARTTTTTTTTCAGTCCTTTCAATTAAGCCATCCCACTGTTCTGGACAAGTAGTAAGTTATCATTGTAAGTACTTTACCTTGGGTCTTTTGGGCCACAGCGATCCCTTCCACTACAAGTATTGTTATCAATAACACTAGAGAAATAACAGAAAAGTAAAGTTAAAAATTGCATTTTTATGACATTTTACTAAGTCTACAAGGAGTATCAGATGATAATAAAAGATTAACTCACTATTTCTTACTAACAATGTTCACTCAAGAAAGTGTTAAGTGTTATGTTCTGATTTATATGTGACCCTTAAGACAACCTAAGAAAAGATAAAACTGATTTTTATAATCATTTATTCAAGCACTAATAGATGTCATTTATTTTTCAACTTGGTATTTTAAAAAATAATTTAAAAACCTCAAAGCCCTAGAAAAATCAGAACAAATTAACACCAGAAGTAGTAGAAGACAGGAAGGAAATAATTAAAATCAGAGCTGAAATCAATGAAATTGAAAAATGAAACAACTGAAAAAACTGACAAAATGGAAAGTTGTTTCTTTGAAAAAAACAAATAAAACTGATAAACACATAGCCACATTAAGGAAGAGAAGGAGAGAGAAAACAGAGAAAACTCAAATTACTAAAATCTATGATGAAAGAGGAAATATCACACAGACTCTACAGAAATACAGAAGATAATTAGAAACTATTTTTTGAAAATTTGTACTCCAATAAAATAGAAAACATCGCAGGCATGGACAAATTTCTAGAGTCATATGATTTACCCAAATTGAATCAGGATGACATACACAAATTAAACAGATCAATTTCAAGAAATGAAATAGAAGATACCATCAAAAGCCTACTAACCAAGAAAACCCCAGGACCAGAAAAATTCACAGCTGAGTTCTACAAGACCTTCAAAGAAGAATACCAATACTCCTCAAAATATTCCATGAAATAGAAAAAGAAGGAAGATTTCCAAATTCATTCTATGAGGCCAATATCACTCTGATTCCAAAATCAGACAAAGACACATCAAGGACAGAAAACTTCACACCAATATCTCTAATGAACATAGATGCAAATATTCTCAATAAAGTTCTGGCAAATTGAATACAAAAACATATTAAAAGACAGTACAACATAATCAAGTTGGGTTTCATCCCAGGGATGCAAGGTTGGTTCAACATATGAAAAACAATAAATGTAATTCATCACATCAATAGACTTAAAGATAAGAATCATATGATCATGTCAATAGATGCATAAAAAGCATTTGACAAAATACTGCGCCTCTTCATATTCAAAACACTAGAAAAAATAGGGATAAAAGGAACATACTTCAACATTGTAAAAGCTGTATATGCTGAGCCCCAGGCCAACATCATTCTAAACGGACAAAAATTGAAAGCATTTTCTTTAAAAACAGGAACAAGACAAGGATGCCCTCTTTCACCACTTCTATTTAACATAGTTCTTGAAACTCTAGCCAGAGCAATTAGACAGGTGAAAGAAATTAAAGGGATATACACAGGAAAAGAAGAACTCAAACTATCACTATTTGCTGACAACAGGATTCTATACTTAGAGGATCCAAAAAATTCTACCAGAAAACTTCTAGAACTAATAAATGAATTCAGCAAAGTAGCTGGACATAAAATCAACACCCATAAATCAAACGCATTTCTGTACAGCAGTGATGAATCCTCTGAAGAGAAATTAGGAAAACTACCCGCTTAACAATAGCCTCAGGGGGAAAAAATACTTGGGAATCAACTTAGTGAAAGAAGTAAAAGATCTCTACAATGAAAACTACAGAACACTAAAGAAAAGTCCTTAGAAGACGGAAAGATCTCATACTAGACAAAGATCTCCCTTGTTCTTGGATAGGCAGAATTAATAATTGTCAAAATGACCATACTACCAAAAATACTATACAGGTTTAATGAAATTCCAATCAAAATCCCAATGACATTCCTCATAGAAATAGAAAAAGCAATCATAAAATTCATCTGGAAAAATAAGAGACCCAGAATAGCCAAAGTAATCTTTAGCAAAAAGAGTGAAACAGGTGGCATCACAATACCAGACCTTAAACTACACTACAGAGCAATAGTAACAAAAACAACATGGTATTGGCACCAAAATACACTTGTAGACCAATGATCCAGAATAGAGGACACAGAGACAAACCCACATAAATACAGTCATCTCATACCTAGACAAAGGCACCAAAAACATATTGGAGAAAAGATAGCCTCTTCAACAAATGGTGCTGGGAAAACTGGAAATCCACATGCAGAAACATGAAATTAAGCCGGTATCTCTCACTCAAAGTGCAATAAGGACGGAGGAATTAGACCAGAGACCCTGTGCYTAACAGAAGAAAAGTAGGCACAAATCTTCATCATGTCAGATTAGGTTCCAACTTCCAAAACAAGTCTGGGAATGGGATGGATTCAAATTGAAAAGCTTATTCTCAGCAAAAGAAACAATCAGTGAAGAGAGAGCCTACAGAATGGGAGCAACTTTTTATCACACACACCCTCAGTTAGAGCACTAATCTCCAGGATAAAGAACTCAAAAAACATGAAAAGAACCAAATAACCCAATCAATAAATAGGCTAAGAAACTGAACAGACACTTCTCAGAAGAAGATAAACAGCCAATCAACAAACATATAAAAAAATGTTCAACATCTCTAGTAATTAGAGAAATGTAAATCAAAACTAATCAAACATTGCTGGTGGCACTGCAAATTGGTGCAACCACTATCAAAAGCAGTATGGAGATTCCTTAGAAAACTTGAAATGGAACCACCATTTGACCCAACTATCCCACTCCTTCGTTTATAACCAAAGGACCCCAAAACAGCATACTGCAGGGATGCAGCCACATTAATGTTTATAGCACCACAATTCACAATAGCTAAATTGTGGAACCAATCTAGATGTTCTTCAACATATGGATAGATAAAAAAAAAAACTGGTATATATGCAAAATGGATTATTACTCAGAATTAAAAGAGAATAAGATCATGGCATTTGCAGGTAAATGGATGGAGTTGGCTAAGTGAAGTAAGCCAACTCCCCAAAACCAAAGGCCAAATGTTTTCTCTGAAAAGTGGATGCTGGTCCATAGTGGGGGTTGGGTGAGGAGCATGGGAGGAATGGAGGAACTGTGGATAGGGTAAAGGGGAAGGAGGGCAAGGAAGGGGGCAAAGGGGTAGGAAAGATAGTAGATTGAGATGGACATCATTACATGTATGTAGACATGAATGATGTGACTCTACTTTGTGTACAATCAGAGAAATGAAAAGCTGTGCTCCATTTGTGTACTATGAATCGAAATGCATTCTGCTGTCATGTGTAACAAATTAGAACAAATAAATAAATAAACTAAATAAAAACCCCCACAATTTTGTGTTTAGAGACAACTATTCCTTTGCTGATCCTAACTATTCTTCCATTTACTGTATACTATCTCAGAGTTTAAATGTAATGTGCTATGCCAGTGAAAGTTCACTTAGATTATCTGACTCATAAGGACATTTATAATACARAATTAAGTGGGTAGTAGTCTCTAGAAATCAATTTAAACTGTTTTATAGTTGTGCATTACTATGCTGTGTTTGTTACACAAAAGCTGGACATACTTATAAACAATCCCAACCCCAAGCTGAACACTTCTGTGACCCAATAAGCAATACATGGAATTTGAAGATATTGAAAAACATTTTATCTTCATGAATGGTGCACTTTCCCTTTCACTGAAGATGATACTACCAGCCTGCCACAAACTACTGTGTGAATTGGAGTTATATTCAGTCAATAAGCTTGTATAGAGAGTACCTACTGAAGAGCAGGCACTGGGGAATCAAAAGTGTGAAGAGAGAAAACAGCAAAATGGCTAAGAGTAAGGACTTTAGACAATACATCGATTTAGGGTGGGGTTCAAGCTTTGCGTTGGACCAGTTGTGAGGCCTTATTTATAAAACTGGGATGATGTATAGTATTGTAACACCAACTTTACTGGTGGCTGTGAAGATTAAATAAGATGTGCAGATCTTCTGTGCCAGGCATTCTGCTAAATAAATAATAGATATTAGAACAAATTAGCATCTGCACGGAGTCAATCATTGTCAAAGGCAATCTACAAGGTGAAAAGGGATTTAACAGGAGGTTTAACAGCATAACGGAAACACAGAGAGGGGAACCATTCATTCCAGTGGGGACTAAGAGAAATCAATGAGGAAAACTTCAGAAAAAGAAGGTACATTCTAGTTGGACCTTATGGGACTTGAGCCCAAAGAAAGAAATGGCTTAATTCAAAACAGAGGCATGAGTCTGATTGGGTGTTTGGGAGCTCTGAGCAGTATAATACTGTTAGCATGTGAAAGGAAATGGAGGTATATAGCAGGGTAGAAAAAAGTAGGATGATATCTGGTTATAAAAACCTTGAATGCTATGCTAAAGAGTTTTCGACTTTTGATTATAATTAGAAACCATGGTAGGTTTTTAAAGTAGTGAGTGACATCATAATATCTGACTTTCAGACTAACAATCCTGATGGCTGTGTGGAGTCTGAACTTATGAAAAGAAATGATTTAGGAAGCAAAGACGATATGCTGAAGCAGAGTGGTGGCAAAAGGAATAGGAAATTAATGACATGATTCAGATGTAGAGTCAACTGTAACTGGTAACTCACAAGATGTTAGGGGTAAGGGAAATGGAAATACTCGAGAGTTTGTCAAGTAACTGGCAGACAGTTATACCATTGCTAACTCTATAGCACATTCTAAACATCTACTAACCAAAGTAATCAATGTACAAACAGTTCTTGCCATTCAGTTTATATCTTAAAAATCTAAGTATTTGACTTCTTTGTCTTTGGTTTCTTGCATCCTTGCTGACCTTTGTCTCTGTGCAACTTTGCCCCTTTCCTTTTCTTTGGTTACTGGTAGTGTTGAAGATCTTATATTAGGTAGAAACAATCCTTCCTTCAAACTCTTCACATCTGTATACTGTAATTGAGTAAGAGGAATGGGGTCTTGAAACATTTTTTTAAACAAGATTTATGATAAAAAAATCCAGAGTAATATATATTTGATAATCCAGCAAATAACACAAATATCAATTTAAC